ATCGGTCACCGCCACGGACACGCGTGAGCCGCCCCGAGCCCCGTCTAGCGAGAGTTCTGGAGGGGAGCGAGCCCGGCAGCAGCGCACGGGGCCGGGGCAATAGGAGGGGACAAACCCGGCGGGTGCCCCGCGCACTCACCTGGGTGTCGATCATCATCGTGCCCCGCTCATAGCCCCAGCGCCGCGCCGAGAGCCTCTGGCCCCGCTGCGGGTGCCGGGGCCGCACTCACGGCCCCTGGGCGCTGCCCGGGGGCCGGGGGCGATGCTCCGCGCCGGCCATGGGCCCCCGCCGCCCCCGCCGAGCCGCCAGCGCGGAGCGCCCAGCGCGGCCGCCAGAGCCGAGCGCGGGGCGGGACCGGGGCGGGCACCGCTCCCGGGAGGGAGGGGGCGGCTCCCGGCTCTGCCCGGCCCCCGGCACCGCTCCCGGGAGGGAGGGGGCTGCTCCCGGCTCTGCCCGGCCCCCGGCACCGCTCCCGGGAGGGTGGGAGAGAGTCTGCAGCGGGGGCAGCCGTGGGCACCTCTCTGGTGCCACCTGCACGCACGGGCATCGCTCCAGGGGTACGCGGAGCATCCTTTCGCTTTCGGGGTGTTTTCCCCTGGTAGTGGGAGCTGTGGATGAAGGGGACCCGTGCAGACCCCGGCGGGGAGCGGGCGGTGTGGGTGCGGAGCAGGGGTCGGCGCGGCGCTGCGTGCGGGTACAAACAGGAGAAGAGCCTGGGGCTGAAAGAGACCCCCGGGACCCCCCGGCTGTCCCCCTCCAGGAGGAGAGGCCGGGGCAGGGAGCCAGGGCACCACACGGACCCCCGGCCGCTGATCTCGGCTCCGCCCGGCACCGAAACGGGGCACGGGGGGACCCCCGGGCAGCGGTGCTGGAGCTGCGGGCGCACGGTGTGTGCTGGAGCGGGAGCTGGGGAGCCAGCGGGGTTGCCCTGGAAACAGAGCGGCTGCGGTCCCCATCGTTTGTCATCATGAGGACGATGACATGAGCCATTAACAGCGATGGCAGGAGATGAAGGAGCCGGGAGAAGGCTGCGTCAATCCATGGCCGAGAGCTCCCAGCCGCTGCAGGGCTGGTCCTGGGCACCAACACCCCGCGCCGGCCCCAGCAGCCACCCCCGCTTCTCCAGGGTCACAGAGGGAATGAGCGACAAGGCAGAGCCCATCGCACCTGACTGTCCCGCTCCTCGGTGGCCCCGGGCCAGCTGAACCAGCAGCTCCGGGTGGGGAGTGCAGCCAGGAAAGGAAAAGGTGCTGCCAGGGCTCTGGCTCTGGCACTAGATGCTGCTACAGAGCAAACATCATTCTAATTATAGTAACGGTGTCAGTGCTCAACAGTGAGAAAAACACGTACTTCAAAAGGTCTAGAACTATGTAATTTGCTGCTGGCAAAACTCACTAAAAACCACACCAGAATGAAGCACGTTTTAAATGTAATTTGTACTCATCTGGCTCGCTTTAAATCGGCAAAAGGTTCAGCAGGGGAGCAGGGAGATGAGGTGGGCATACAAGCAGTAGAGATTTGTGGTTAAAACTGCCTTTCTACTCCTAAGGCTTTACACTAGTTTTACACGAAACAGCGACATTTGGTGGATCTATGTTTAACCTAAATATAGCAGAGGAAAAGTCACGTCAGTACAGCAACACTCGTGGAGAAAGGAGGGAGTCTGGTGGGCAGGCAGACATTCAAATGTCACTCTTCAGATGTGTTTATCTAGTGATGCTTCCCTAAATCATTAGATTGTGTGGAGCACAACTCCAGGGTTGGGGATTTACCGTGAGTAAAATACAACCCAACTCACTCCTGTAACTCCTTCTCCAGTTCCTGCTGTCCCCAGAACAGCCTCTCCCTGTCACTGTCACTCCACCTGGAGAGCAGCTGTTGCTCTGTGTGTGTCACCCCTGGGGTCCCACAGGGACTTGCTGGGGCAGGATGTGAAGCAGAGCAGGTGGGATTCAAGTGAGAAAATAATAACCTTGGTGCTTAGAGCAGCCCTTTGAGATTAGAGCAAATCCCCACTGAGTGACCCAGACGGGCAAACACAGAACAAGAGGCAGAGACAATCCCTCCCTCAAAAAGCTGAACAGGTGAGACAAAGGGCAGGGGAGTGAACCCAGCAGCTCTGGCAGGCAGCTCCCAGCCTTCCAGCTCCTTTCCACCACCATGCTGCTCCAGCTGCATGACGCCAGCCAGATGCACATGGCTTTTCCACAAGCTGGTTTTGTGCAGGGAATGTGTAACGGATGTTCCTATCCCTCCTCATCCCCCTCTGCATAAAGATGATTTCATTTCCGTGCCCCAAAGCCACAGATCTCACCCACAGAAAAGTTTGACTAAGCCACTCCTTTTGTAACTAGTGCTGTGTGGCACAAAATGACATTTCTGGTCAAAACTGTCAGGGAACATCACCTATGGGAGGGTTATGGGAAATCCGAACAGGAGTGGAAAAGAATCCTCATCTGGCTAAGTGGCAATGAGTCTTGTTCTATCAGTGGGGAGAATGAGAGGTTCACAGTCTGGCCCACTTCAAATCATATTCAGTGCTGGAAATTTCTGTTTCAAACCACACAGAGAAATTTGCCCTCTGGGGGTGGATGCACTGGGCAAGACAGCAGCAGGGAGAAGGAAAGAAACAGCCTGTCAGATGGGTGCTTAAATTAGAGGGACAATGAATGATGAGTCTGTTCCAGCCGAGTAGAAAGGGATGGAAGGAAAAAAGGGCCCTTGGGAAGGCAACAAGCTGCTGATCTGAGGCTGGGTTAAGGGCTGGAGTTGGAAATACCTTGAGAGCACAATCACATCCCCAGGCAGTGGCGTTTATTTACATATGGTGATTCAGTTTTTATGCCCTTCCCTGCATTTCTAAGTCCAAATTCCTCTGGCACAAGAACACGTAAGACAACATTGTCCCCCGTGGCGAGTGGAGGAAGGCAAGAGTGACACTGCTCTGCCTTCCCACCGTGTGCCTCAGTTTCCCCACTGTGCACTGGGTGTGGGTGGGGAATGCACACCACAAGGCAGGTCCTGGTGAAGCTCCCACAGTGCACACAAGCCTCAGGCTGCACAATCCACACCGGGAAAAGGAAAGCTCGCTGCTGCTGCTGGGGGAAGGGGATTAATCAGCAGGAGATGACAACAGAGTCCAGCCACTCATTAATTAGAGGAGGGCACGAGCTGATTCAGGGAGCATCTCCCACACAGCACTGTGGGTTTTTTTTTTTCTTTCTGCAGACATTCTCCTGCTCCCTGGAGGCACCGGGAGTTTGTAGGTACTGCTTCAAACCACAGCCCCGTGGAGCAGAACTGTGTCACACAACACAAGCCATTCCCCTGGGGAGAAGCTGCGGGCCTGCCAGGAAAATAAACACGTTTGGCACAGCACAAAGCAGGCCATTATGGTGTCAATCAGAGGCCGGAGGATTCAGCCAAAAGGCAGCTCGGATGCAGAGCTCAGACCAAGCCCTTCACAATATTTTCAAAACAGGTACCTCAGAAACACAGACCACCCTCTGTCACCCATCATCTGTGCTGCAGAACTTCCACTCACAGAGGATTTATGAGTATCTATCTGCACAGGACTTCAATAATTAATGTTGCAGAATGAAGCCCTATGGCTGCAAACCCAGAGCAATTTCCAGCAGAATTAAGGCATAAGGGGAATTGGCCATTGGCACAGCTGATCTATGGATTTTTGGCTGCTATGGAACTTCACATTTTTTCTTGGAATCTGAATACTTTTCTAAGAGGTCTAGCCCAGCCCAGCCACATACTGACACCAGGAGATAAAATTATCTGGCTTGTCCTGTGCAGAGCAGACTGGACAGCTCCTTCTGGCTGGTAAAGAATCCATATGCATGTATATATAATTAGCATAATGAGAACCCAGTTTTAGCATGGCCTTGAGGCACTAACTCTTTTAACAAATAAGAAACAGACAGTATTAATCCTGGGCTGGTTGGAAATGTATCTTTCTGGAAATATTTGGATAAGTATTTTTCCTCACTATTTTGGCTTAAATTAAGTGCCTGGTTATTCAACATTCATGGCAGGGGTTTCAGTTCTGGTTTAGTTATGTAAAGGGGCATCTTCCTCCTGCACCACATCACTAGGAACAGTCTAGAGAAAATGTAATAAAGACCCTTTGCTGGATTAAGCACAAATCAGTCAACCCAGCTGCCACTGGGGCTTTGGGGCTGGAGGTATTTCAGGTGCCTTATCTATACTGTGGGTGCGTGAAAGCTTTTCTAATTAATCTTCTGGAAGATGAAATGCCTGCAATGACAGTGGCAAGTGCCATTTCCAGCCTGCTCACAGGACTGAAATGGCTCGTTAAGTCATCTGCAATCAGTGGTGGGGCCCTAAAACTTTGAATACTTGATTTGCTGCCATACAGCAATTTTCTCATGTGAGGAGAAGCAGGAACAGTCAGCCACCTCTTCCCTATTTTCCCTCTCTCTGCCAAACCAGCTTTTTTTCCCCTTTTCTTTTTCCTTTTCTTTTTTTTCCTAAACTGTTCCCTTACAAACAGCCCGTTCACCCTCTCACCCTGCTCCTCCTCTCCCCAGCTCCCGTGGCCTCTCTCCTGCTCCCTCTGAGACAACAGGGACTGACGTGCTCAGCCTTTGGGTGGCACGGGGAGCTGATGTTCATGGCAACCCTGCTGTGACAAGGGAGGTGGCACAGGCACCCCTGAGCTGTGACCTCGGCTGCCAGCCACAGCCCTGGCTGCTCCCCCGTGCTCACCCGAGGGAGCTGCCAGGCTCCAAACGCCTGGTTCAGCTCCTCAGCACAACCAAGGGGAGAAAATGTTAACCCCAGCCCACCTCCAGCTCTGTGCTGAACTCCCAGCTTCACCAGAGCATTTCATTTCGGAATGAAATCATCCTGTTTGCTGGAAAGGCATCAGCTCGTGCTGTCAGCTCCAGCAGCTTCTCGCCAATTTATTTCACAGAGCTTAGAAAAATTGGAAAGGGCTGAAGCAATGGAGAGGAACATGAACATCTCAAAACCAGATTTTCTGTGTTGGAAAAGATTACATGATCCACAGAGACATGTGACCCAGGGAAAAGGTTCAGAGCACATCTGTGATTGAAATAAACCTGAAGAAGTTCAGTCTGCCCTGAGCTTTGCCAGTTCTGTCTAAACTTGGGTCTCCAAAGCACAGACTGGAATTTGGGAGATAACTGCTAGCTGAGTTCACACTGTTTGTCCTGTCAGACCAGGGCTCTTACTGGCAATGCCTGGCACCAGCTCTCTGCTGACAAGGTCCAAGAAATCCTGCTGCACACAGGGATAGGGATAATGTGCTCTGAGTGCACGTTTCCTCCTGATTCTGACAAAAGATGTTAGTTTAAATCACAATACAGGAAAATTTATTGCCCAGCAAAATTTTTTTTAAAAATGAAAAGGTCTTTACCAAAACCCAAGGTCTTCTCCACAGGAATGTCAAATATCATTTTGATCTTTAAAAGTTTCCACCAGGCCTCTGGAAAACATTCAGGCAAAGGCAACTACAGCCATGTATTGGATGACTGGCCTTTTGGATGTTTTTTGTGTGCAGGATATATTTACAAAGAGTGGGAATCCAGAATCCTTTTCAGTCTCACCTGCACTTTGACTGCTGCTTCTGAAATGCATTTAGACTCTGTTCTCCAGAGGAACTAACCACACATTCCCTTCCCAGTTTGCTCCCACCAGGAACAAAAACTCATGGTGGGGCACATTTTACAGGAACTGAGTTTGGTGGGTTTGGTTGCGTGGAGGATCTCTCTGCAGGGATCAGATGATCAATTTCGGACCTCTTTGTAGTCCTTATCCACTGTGGAAAAACGTATGAGGCGGATTTCAGGGGGCTTTGGCTTCCTGTCATCCCATATATACTCTGGAGAAAGCAGCTTGGAGGGTTTGTGTGTCAGGAAGTGCCTGTTGAGGTGACTCTCCTCCTGCCAGGCTGCCATGATCCCGTTGGCTTTGTCAGCCAGGATGGTCATGTGGCAGCTCTTGGTGAACTCATAGACTTTGTTGACCAAGCCTCCAAACACGGCTCCTCCGTAGTAGAAATCCCCTTCTCCCTCGGGGATGAAGGCTGCCGAGGAGCTCCTCCTCTCATAAGGGAACTGCTCCCGTGGCACTGTGAAGTAGCCAGGGTGGATGGCTGCCACCATGTCCCCCAGGGTCTCGGGGCCCCAGGGGTTGTGGAACACCATGTCAACGTCCAGGCAGAAGAGGTACTGCACCTCCCTGCCGCTCACCTGGGCCACGTGCCGGCTGATGGCCTCCATCCTGCGCATGGAGATCTCCTGCCAGCTGGAGAATTTGGCCATGGGGACGGTGGCCAGGCTGCGCCCTGGCTGCAGCTGCAGTGAGGGAACACTGGCAGGGCTGTCTGTGAAGATGTAATAGTTCACCTGGTAGCCACGCATGAAGTGCTGCTCTGCCGACTCCAGGAAGCGACGCACGAACCGCGTGTACCTGCCCGGACACGGCGGGGACAAAAGGGACATCTGTAAGGGCATGCAGGGATAGGGCAAAACGGGAATGGCCTTCAGCTGAAGGAGGGCAGGGTTAGATCAGATATTAGGAATGAATTCTTCCCCTGTGAGGGTGGGGAGGCTCTGGCACAGAGAAGCTGTGGCTGCCCCATCCCTGGAAGTGTCCAAGGCCAGGATGATGCAACCTGGTCTAGTGGAAAGTGTCCCTGCCCATGGCAGGGGGTGGAAAGGGATGAATTTTAAGGTCCTTTCCAAGCCAAACCGTGCTGGGATTCCAAAGGGATGCATGGTGGATTATGAAGGACACGTTGGTGAATGCAAGACAAGGAGTGAGGAGAGTTCACTGATCATCACTGCAAGAATCCACACACTGCACATGAAACGGGTGGAGTGGAGGATGAGGAATAAGAGGATTATCCTCATTTTGACCAGCTCTAATTCCCAAGCCACCTGCTAATTCTTAAAAAACACTGCTCACACCTCAGGTATCTCCAGTGTTGTCATCCCATGGTTATGTGTGATTACAGACACACTACATGGGCACAAAACCCCCCTATAAATTGGGACAAATTTCAGGAAAAGGAAAACCAAAATAATCTTTCCACAGAGGGAGGGCATCACCCCAAGAACTGTGGTCACAGAGTGCTTCCCTTACTTGCCAATAGCAAAGGCTGTCACCCCTATGGTGAGGTTCAGGGGTCTGTAGGCACTGTCCAGGATCTCAGGGTCAAAGGTGCCTTCCCAGACGATGGGGGCCAGCCATGGTGTGACTGTCAGCACATCCTGGCGCCTGAAGGGGGAAAAAACCAGAAATGTTAATGAAATGTAACTGTTCCTATTGGTTTCCAGGTCAGTAAATGGGGAAGAAGCATGAAAAAGGCAGCTAGAAGAGTGTGTGAATCAGAATTAATTCGCCATGGAGGGTATTAACCTCAGATATTTTCTCCCTGAACTCTTACTTGAGGTTACAGAGCATGGACATTCCATTCCTGGGCTGAAATTAAGCACTTCAAGACATCAGCAAAAACCTGAAGATCTGCTAAAATCTCATTTGAAGACTGCAGAGGAGAGTTTAATGACCACTGAACTCTCAGAATGGGAAGCTGTGCCTATTTGCTATCAGCCTGATGCAGATTGCTAAATACAGATTAAAACACAAGTAATATGAAAATTACTATAAAAATATACCCCATTGCTGTGTTATTAAAACACAGCTTGCAGCATGACAGCTTATTTTTCCTATTTATATATAGCTCCAACACATTCAGATATAATTTAAAATTCTGTATGTGAGCCAGCATTCAAATGTGTAACAAAGTTAGAAAAAAATCCTTAATCTTCTGTGAGGGAAGTGGAAATACTGAATATAAATGCAGCAGAGTCTGATTCTGCCCTATTACAGCTCTGCAATGCTGTTTCAATTTGCTGCTTTGTTTTCAGTGTTTCATTCTTACCTTTTTGATTTTAAAAGGAGATGTCATTTATGGTGGAATTCACCCCAGCCTGCTCACATTTGCTCCAGACCTGGAGCTGGAGCCCTCTGCTAATGAAATTTGTCACACACAGCACGTGGCCACACCTGGGGGCTGCCAGGCTCCCACCTGACACAGTTCCAAGGCAAAACAGCACCAAAATCAAACTGGGGGAGCTCTGGGGAGCAGATCCCATCAGATCCTCCAACCCAGATCTAATACTTTCAATCTGAGAGGATGCAAGAATAAAACAGTTTGACTCCTTCCTACAGCAGTGCATGTGATTGAAAGATTAAATTATACAGGAAGAAGAATTTGGGTTGGGGGAAATGTGCTAAATGATCTGTTCTGTTTCTGGGTTGATTATCCCTTTTTTTGGAGAGGGAAGCAATCATGCATGTTCACTTCTCTAAGCTTTTTAAATTTCATTTTAAAGGGCTGCCCTGGGTTTCCCAATGAATCATGGTCATGCTCTCAGTGCCAGTAAACTCCCTCCAGAAGACACAGAGCATGAAAAGCTTCAAGGTGCTCTCCTCGTTCAGCCCAGGTGACTTAGCACAGAAATTTATTCCAGTATGGAAGAAATATTCAGGCTGAGCACATCCTGAATGTGGGGGAAATCATATATATATATATATGTGTGTGTGTGTGTACCAACAGGGTGTGTTAACATGCACAGGAATGTGGTTGTTGAAGGTGAATTGCTCCAGATAAAAGTCAGGACACAGGAGCAAGGCCAAAGGAGGCTGTAACAACCTGAGCTGCACAGAGAGTTTGTCCAAGCCACTTCTTAGTTCTGCTGGCCCAAATCTTCCCTCACACTCCCTGCTTTGGCTGTGTCTCTGAGATTTGTCTGTGCTGAAATCACTGCTGAAGGTCACACAGAGCACCTGCTTTATTTTGCCCTGAAATGAGTTCAAAGCTCTCCCACAGCTGGTTCCAGCTGCAGCACAGCTCCAGAAGGTACTTCCCACTTACAGATATTACAGATCCCCCACCTCAAAAAGAGCTCCTGGCCGTGGAACTCTTGTTCCATGTGTGCTAATGCAATAATTGGGAATTAACAATAAGTGTAGAGTGACCAAACCCAAACTTAGAGCAGCACAGGCAGCTGCTGACACACCCCTGTGCTTGGATTCTCATGGAACAAAGTCCTGCTCAGTGTGCCCCAGGACTCTGGAACTGTGAGTGCTGCAAAGTGCCCAAACCAAACTCAGCAGAAACAAAGTTCAAACAAAGAAACTTACTTTGGCACCAGCACTCTTGGCTGCTGATAAAATAATCTGTAAAAAGGAAGAAAATATCCATTGAATAATACATGAATATGCCTGGAAGAGAGGAACAGCAGTTTAAAGGTCAGGAGATAGAAGGCCAATACTTACTGGGGGAAAAGCTGGATTAGCTTCTCTTCTGTATATTGGAGTTTCATGGAGCTGAATAATGGGGTGGGAAAAGAAAGGAATTGTTATACTTTTCTTAAAATATCAACCAAGTTTGGTTTCAGGACCTGCTGCTGCACTGTCAGCTGCCCAAATCCAGCTCCAGCTGCTGTGACACTGCTGTGCCTGGCCCAGGGTTAGGCATCACCTGCACACACCTCCAGGGCTGTCAGGCAAGGGACAGATTTGGGACAGAACACACAACACAACAAGGACAGAGAGATGCTGGCAGCAATCCCAGTCTGTGGGGAAAATCAGGGTTTAGGGGTCAAAATCCATGAGGGACTGTCAGCAATGGTCATATATGTGCTCCATGCCCTGCAAAACTGTTCCTGGTCACCTGGAGGGCTGAACTACCTGAAATTATCACATTTCCAACAGCATTCAGAGAAATAAGCACCTGACCAGACACAATAGTTTGGGATGGGCTGGAATAATCAGAAATACTTCCATGAAACATTTTTTTTTTCCTATTTGCATGGTTTTGTTTTGTTTTGACAAGAACAGTAGGTCATGGGAAAAGCCATGTCTTGTCATGCCCCAGCTGTGGTGCAGTGTGGCAGTGAGGAGGTCACTGTGGCCCTGTCCCTGGCCCCTGCACAGTGAAAATTTTCTCCTGTGCAGCTCTGGGGGAGAGCTCTTGGCACCCAGGCTAGGTCAGCTCCATCAGTTTGCAGCGTGCAAGGAAGCTCAGGAGCAGCTCCCCTTCATTTGCTCAGGCCCAGAGCTGCCAGGCACAAATATGGAATGGGGGGAGAGCACAGATCACAGAGGGAAGAACAGGAGCCTGATGGAACAGGGGGGCCATTCCTGATTGTGCCAGAGCTCCTCCTGTGCCTGTTCATGTCACCTCTCTGCTTTAGGTGACCCTGCCCAGTGAGAGGACACTTCAAGCAGAGCTGTGCATGTGCAGGTGTGTGATTACACCCTGATAGGGAAGCTGAATTAACCTTTCAGTCCTGGGCTCTGTGACCCACAACGAACAAACCCGAGCAGAGCCAGAGCTGTCCTGCAGGGCAGGCAGGCCCCAGCAGCACTGGTAGCTTTTTGTTTTAAGAGAGTGACTCATTACAGCTTCATACATAAAGAACAAGAACTTGTTAATCAATGTTTGTGTTGTCAGTGAAGGGCAGGACCGTAACAACGACCTGTGTTACTCATTAGACACAAAACAAAATACTCACAAGATTTCTGGGCAGGGAAGGTAGTAGGGCAGGTAATGCACTTTTCCACTCCCAGCCCTAGCCCTGTGAGAGCAAAGAAATGTTTGAACACAGGAAATGTTGAAGGAAACCTTCCTAGAATTTTCCAAGATCCCCTAAAGACCTGGCAAAGATTTTGGGAGCTAACTCTGGCTAACTCCATGTCTACTTTATTAATTAGTGTAGGATCTGCTGTGTTCACATTTTAACACAATGTCCTGCTGCTGAGGCAAAATGCAGCTACCCACAAAGTGAAAGTACAGCAAATTGCAACATCATAAATATGCGATAATTCATAATAATTTAACAATTAATATGTTAATACTTAACAGAAATGTCTTATCTCAGATTCCCTTCCCACAATGTTTGAGGTATAGAGAATAAAAAAGCCGTACTCAGTCATCAGAATATTCAGTTACAAAATTCTCAGTGTTTGAAATGACTGATATTTTACATTGAAATGACTGATAGTTACAAATGACTGATAGTTACAAAGCTGTCCCTGGTGACACTGGAGTGAGTTTGGACTGTTTGAAGAGACAAATAATCACTCTGAGCTGAAATGTAACTGGAATATTCTATACTTCAACATTTGTTTGTGAGGTGTTAGCAGCCTGATTTGGACTCAATTACTTCCTTCCCTTAGGGCTTTCTCCCTCTACCAGTGCTCTTTTATCTTTACACAAATAATGTGTAATATTGTGATATTAAACTGTTCTTTCTTACAGCTCAGAGACTTTCCACAAAAGGCACAACTTTTATTTTTGTGTTCTGTCAGTTTTATCACAGAATGTACACAGGATGATTTAGGTATGGCCAAGCTGGCCAGCAAATTCTTACCAGATAGCCAGAGCAGCCACGACACCCAGGCAGAAAAGAGATGTCAGCAGCAATTTTCTGGAAATCATCTTCTAGAGGAGAAGGAAGGGAGACTTCTGAATTCCAGCAGCTTTCACTCTGCAAAGAACAAACACGAAGGGAAGAGGGCTGTAAGTACCTCACTCTGGGATAAATCGATTATTTCCTCAGAGGAGGACGAATCTTCTCAGCAGTTTCAGACTTTCTGCAGCAATGAACACGGAAGGAGCCAGACAGGAAGAGCCAGGGCACTGAAGCAGCAACTACAAAATGTCAGAGCAAGTTCTCCATTTCAGGGAGCTTTAACCCCAGCTCTAGTGCTTGGGGAGCCTTTCTGATTTGATTCCATCTACTTTCTGTCGATTCCATTTTTCATCTCAAGCACCCACCCTTTGCAATTGAACCAAATCACCCACCCCAGTCTTATCACTTAATCAGAGTTAACACAGTTATCACCCGAGCTGATAACCTCCACCTTTCCCAATCCAGAGGCAATTCCTGCAAAGCTGCCTGTAGGAAAGGTAAACTGAGGTGTGAGAGCAGCAAAGAAAGATTTCACAATCCTAATGCATGTTGGGTAAAGATTAAGACAAAGAAATTATTTTCTCAACAACAGCCATGAAAATCACCTTTCCCGAGCCCTGCAGTCTTACCTTAAAAGCTCAAATCAATCTTTTTTTCTGCTCACAGGGAAGCAAAGGTGCCCACAGTGGGAACTTTGATTGATCCCTGTGATGAACACAAAATGCATGGGGGTTACAAGCACGTTAATTGTTATTCCTTTCATTATCACCTTCGGTGAGGACTGCAGCTGTGGATCAGGCTCGTGTGTTTTCATTTCTCTGCTGCTGTCTCAGGACCCAACCCATGCTCTCCTGCCAGCTAGGACCCAACCCTCCACACCAAATGCTCTTCCAGGCTGGCTGGAGGGACTGGATATATTTCCAGTTAGAGCTTTCTACTTTTTAGAATGTGATTGGAGCGTGTAGGAAAAAAAAAAAAAAAAGAAAAAAATAAAAGAAGAAAAAAAAAAGAGAAAGAGACTGTTTATCAACTATTTATGAAGATGGCAGCATTTATATTAATGGAAGGAACAGGTACATGATGCTTCTTGGAGGCTGCTGAAGTAACCCCAGAGCTCATTACTTGCCCTTGGTAAGGCACAGGACAGTGCCAATGCATCTGAACAGGCAGCAGTGATTTTCCTGCTTTAATTTCTTTGGCTGGAAAAAGACAAGTAGGAAAAAGGTTTTCAATTTTCTTTACTGTATCACACAGAAATCCTCTGGTGCTTCTCTCTCACCTTCCTTGGAGACAATCTAATTAGCTTTCACCAGGAAGCATCACAAAATCCTACTTAAAAATAATGACTAACTACATATATACATATATATATATATGTATGTGTGTGCATCTATATAAATATATGTCTTAAGGCCTTCCATAACTTAAAGTCTTCATGGATTCATGCTGAGCAGTTCTGGATTCTTGCCTAAAAATGCTGCAGATCCACAACCACAGGAAGAAGTACAAGCAGCCTTCCTCCTCCAGCAGTTATTCTGTATTTTGAGCAGTTTTATCTCATTCTTGTGCTAGTTGTGTCATGAGAGCTGCTATGCTGACACCAGGATTTGTCAGTGCCACGTTTCTTACCTTGTGCTTGATGTTTCCAGCACATGCAAAGCAGACAAATGTGCAGAGGGGGGTTCGAACAGTTGCTTTCCAGCCATTCTTTGAGAGCTGGCTGCACACAGAGCAGGTAGGAAAGCCCTTCTCATCAGCAGGCTTCCAAATTTCCAGCCAGGACCTCACTTGCTGCAATTCAGCTCTGGGCAGTCTCCCTTTCCACACCTGAAAGCTCTGATGTTCCCTTCCCTCTTCTCTTCTGTGACCTCCTTCAATCTTTCTTTGTAATTTTCTAACTTCAAGATCTGGGATTGTTTCTGTCAGTTCTGACTGGACTCTCTCTAATCAGCCCATTCTCATGAAATTGGTGTCAAAGCAACCCAAATTCTCCTGCTGAGCCCTCAGCAGTCTGAAGAAAAATCGGATTGCTCCCCAAAACTGAAAAGCTGTCACAGCTCATACATTCCCACAGGACATTTGCCTGCTTTGCAAGGACACAGCACTGGGATAACATTCAGCCTGTGGCCAAATGCAATCCATGTGTTTTCTGTGGAACCTCTCCCAGCCAGGTTTGAGGCATATAAAACCTTCTACTCGACTCCATGAAAACAAACTCGATTTTCAGGCTATTTGTTTTTCTAAAACATCAAGTTCTGACTGAATCTTGTTTTCCCTGAGGCTTGCAGCCCCTCCCAGCTTGATGCCACTTTCCAATTGCATAAATATCCTCTCAACATTTCCACCCAAAGCACAAAGGAACACACAAACAGCCCCACTTTGCAGATTCTCCTGGCATTCCCATTTCCTGCATCTGACTCATGTTCTTATCTCCATGGCATAATGAGGCTGATAGCACAGAATTTGGGTGAAGGACAGAGGATCAAGAACAGAGAGAAGAAAGGGGTCTAATTATTATCCTCAAATTGGACAGTAAAATTAACACAGAATTAAAAAAGATGTGGGTGTTTGGTTATTTTAGTGCAGTTTCAGCTGTTGTAATGGGCACAGAGAACTTCCATGTGTCTTTTATAGAGTAAACATCTAATCCCTCAGGAAGAGAAATACACATATTTTGAAATATTACATCACTAGGAGCACAGCTGAGGCATTCACCCCTTATTTTCAGTTTCTGTGGTACAAACCTGCCAGAGCACTGGAGCCAGCTGAGATTTAAACATCTAAATTTTAGATTTTTCATCTAAAATCATCTCACTGAGATTTACCTCAACTGATTTACAGTTTACCATGAATACAAACAAGAATGAAATAGATGTGGTTGCAGCTGATGAAAGAATCTCCAACCTAATAGAAATCACAGCTAAAGCATTTTTAATAATTACTCAGGTTCCTCGAATTTGTTCCGAGAGTTTTTTAAAAGGGATATGGCTGAAAGTAGCTCTGTTACTCCCAAATGAACTTGCTTGACCTCCCAGAACAAAGCACTACTTTATCTTCAAGCCCTGCTTGGAAAGCATTCTGGACAGCTGATAAATACCTCACTTGTCGACGGTTGCACGGAAAATATTCTTTGCAGAGCAACTATTTCAGATTTCCCAACGAGCATTTCACATTTCTACAACTGAAGTGGCAAGCTGTGAGTGCAGGGTCGTTCAGAAGGTGAAGAAAGAGAAGATATCCACGGGGAGAGCTCCATCTGTGCCTGAGGAGAGGTTTCCTTGCTGGACTCCAGTGTGGAACAGACTGCCTTTGGCTCGGTGACACAGATGTGTTGTCACACCTGAGGCTGGAGCAGGAACTCAGCACAAATCCCCTGCTCGGGCTCCTGGCTCTGCACAGTCTCAGGTTCCAGCTGCACCACGGAGATACCTGGGCTGTGGCAGGGATCCAGCAGGGAAGCACAGCACAGCACAGCTTGCATTTCCCTCACTGCACATTCATCAGCCTTACTGACAAGGCAAAAAAGAGATTCTTCCAAAGTGCCAGATCGAGAGAATCCAGAATTCAACTGGACTCAATTTATAACATCTTTGAGCTCAGTACCAATTATCAGTTCACAGCAACCAAGATCAGGAGGGCATCAGAAAGGTTTGACTGATCTCAGGGGCAGAGTTACTTCATTTTCTGGATGTTTTATTCCCACCAATCTTCCCCAGGCTGAATTGCCAGCAGCCAAGCTGTACTTTTCCTCCTGAGCTGGGCAAAGATGCTCAAGTTTACATTTGTATTTCTGTATAAACAATAAAATATAAAATTGGTAATGACCAAATACAATTTTGCACTGATGAACTGCACAGAGAAACCCTTTCAGGCACCTGTGGTTTCCAGATTTTTTTTTGCCTAACTTTTTATTATTGCAAATCCAGTGAAGCCAATCCTACCATCAAGATCAGTCAGTGTCCTATGGATGACCCAAAAAGATCAGTTAGCTCCACAGTAAATCCATGCACGTGTACCTGTGTGTGTTTATGTCTATATTGACCTAATCCTGATAAAACATAACTTATAAATGAACAGCACTGCCTAAAACTGAAAATTATTTCCAGTTTTCTTTTGGTGGGGAGGACAAATGTATCCAGATACACTCTCCTTTCCAAAGGTATCATCCAACTTCATGCTAAGTAAAGGTTTTACAATACCTGCAGTATCTTTGTGTTGAGATTAATCCCATATTTGAACTTTTTGCCTTTTTTTCCTCTTCCCCATTCCCAGTGGATACAAAGAAGACACTGTGCTGCCCATCAGAGGAAGTGACAGCAACTGACATTTTCCCCTTTAGAAAAACAATAATTCCTATTAAAAATCACCCAGAAGGTGTTTCTTTAGAAAATTTTATTAACAAACATACAACTGTTTTTTTAGTATGATGAGGCTGGGAAGCTGTGGCAGTGCCTGCCCCACAGCCTGGGACACAACCCCACAGCCCCACCCTGGAATCCCAAAGCCAGGAGAGCTGCCTCGCCCTCACTTTAACCCAGCTTTTTTCAAGTCCTCAGGCAGAACTCGGCCCTTCTTTCGGGCCCTGGCTTTCTTCTTCTCTATCCTCTCCTTCTTCTTCTTCTGGATGTTCTTCTGGCGTTTGTCCTGCCTCTGCTGCATCTTTTCCACCACCCTCACAGTCCGTTGTTCCCACTGCCTCTTGCGCTGGGCTTTCTGCTTCTCCTTGCGCTTCAGGGCTTCCTTCAGACGCTCCTCATCGTCACGGATCTTCACCCCTTCTGCCTTGTACAGAGCATTTGTCCATTTTATCTTGGTCTCCAGCTCCTGAGCTTTCTTCTCGTCCTTCTCCTTGAGCTCCTCCAGTTTGTTCTTCCTGGTCTCCAGCCTGCTCAGCAGCTGCTTGTAGTTCTTGCCTGTCAGAGGAGTGATATTGCCTTTCACCGCTTTCCTCTTCTCTTTCTTCTTCTGGATCTTGTTCAACTCATTCTCTTCATGAACTTCAACCCTGTTGAAGACAATCTCAGCTTTGCTCTCCTCCTTTTTGTTTTCTGGCTCGGCTGGTACCTCCTCAGTTTTTTTCTTCTCCATTTTTGCCTTCATCTTCAGCTCCTTTCGCCGGCGTTTCTTTCTCTCTCTCTCATACTTCCTTCGCTGCCTCTTCTCCAGGGCTGCAGGGGTTAACTCTTTGCCATTATCCTAAGGAGAAGGATGGACACGAATGAGAAGCCTCAAAGGGTTAAAGCAGAAGTAAAAGTGGGCTGTCCTCAGGTTCCTGATTTCAAACTCCTCCTAAGAAGCACCACCTGTGATGTGAAGCTGTGACTCAGCTGTTAGAGACACCAAACACAGTAACAACATTTCAAACCCTTTGCTTTCCCCCAACAGCCTTTAGCTGCTCCCTTTCAGGCTTCTACTATTCTGCTTTTTCCTAAAAATCACTAAAGGCATGCTCTCCTTGAAGCTGACTCCATCTTTTCTCACAGGTTTTTCCACAGAACACACACAGCCTATTCCTTATGAGATGGAATCACCTCAAACCCTGAGCCTGTGAGATCCTGTCCCCACATGCCCTGGGAGGCTGGGGAGAATTTCCAGTGCATGAACACACATGTGGATACACATTCAGAGTCCTCATACCTGTCCAGAAGCCTTTTTGATCTTCTCATGGAGTCTCTGACGCAACAGACTGATTGCAGAAACAGAAGGGGAACTCAGTTCACTTTTACTTCCTGAAAATGAAAGGGAGAAAATAAAAATACTTCAAAAGCAGGACCAGTTAAACAGTAGCACTTCCTCTGGCTATGGGAAAAACTCTGGGAACTCTTTAGATGCTGTGAATGGAACGGAAAATCCAAACAAACCCAGCTTTCTATTTCATTGGTTTCTTTAGAATTTCCCCTTTTATCATTCAACACTGCCAGCAGTGGCCTGGCATGCCCTGGGGCTGCCTGGCAAGCCAAAGACAAGTACCAAGCCTGTGGAACAGAGAGGCTCAGGACATCTTTTCTCTGGCTTTACACTGTCATAAAGGAAAGCTGAGCTGGCAGGACAGGGATTGCATCCACGTGTAATTCCTGAAGTTACTCACATGCACAAAACCTCTGCAGCTCAGTTAAACACCGTTTCCAGAGAGCCACCCAGTGGTGATAGCACAAATTCCCGTCCATAAGCAAAAGCTTCTAGGGCACGTGAAATAAGCAAAGATGTTCTCAATTCAGGCTTTCCAAACTAGACTTGTGTGAAGCAAGAAATGCAGCCAGCTCAGCCCAGGTCACTTTAATCACACCACGGCAAAGCTGGAATTTTTACCTGTAGGCAAACTTTCCTTTCTGCTCTGTGTATCACCCTGTGAAGATGATTTGCTGGCTTGAGGGGCTGCTTTCTGTCCTGGAGTGGCTTTACTGGTGTTAGAAACTACTTGTTTGGCTGAAGGAGCATTCTTCTTCTCAGTTTGCTTCCTGGGCTTCTTTTTCTTCTGTTTCTTGACTTGTCTGCCAGCATCCTCAGGCTGGCCTGGCTTAGACACTAGAAGGCAAACAAATTATACATAAGAGGCCAATGCTACATTCCCACTCTTAACATTCAGTTATTACTGACCACTAAAGTTCCAGCATTGCAATGGCACATCGTAATGTTAAAAAATTATACGTTTTAGGATTTCTATAAATAGACCAAACGTCCTCGCACACTTCCGTGAAATGCCAGCTCTCCACATCCATCACCACAGCGAATGGAGATTTCCAGAGCTCCCAGGACAATGTGTACAACGTGTTCAGGAGCTCCGTGTTTCAGCAGATTGTTTTTATTGCTATAAACCGGCACGATCCCGGGCCAAGCACCCCGTGGGGGCACGGCTGTCTCCCCCAGCCTCCCACAAACCGTCCGGAGAGGACAGAACCGAAGCGTTACATTTCCAATACCGAATTTCCTCTTCCGCGACTCCGGGGCGTGCTGCACGCCGGCTCTCCTGGCCAAGCCCTGCAGGTAGGAGTCCTGGGCGGCCAGGCTGGCCATTGCCGGTCCCAGGGGCGCAGTCCCGTGCCCGGGACGGTGCGGGGACAGCGGCTCGCTCCTCGTGGATGGCCCCGCAGGAAGTGATGGATGAAACGCGCCGGCCGGGAAGTGACGGAGCTGGAGCCGCCCCCGCCGGGGCTGCTGCGAGCCCGGCACGGGCAGCATCGCTCGGCCACGCCGGGGCTGCTCGGGGCTTTCCTGGGGGGCTGCGACCCCCGCTCCTTCCTGACGCCCCCCCGGAGCCCCGCAGGCTCGGCTCGGTTCGCCTCCGCCGCAGCTCGCAAAGCTTTCTTTGCCAAGCCTCGCTTTGTTGGAGGACAAAACCGAGCTTCCCCCTGCACCGGGGTGAAATATCCCGAGCACGGGCGAGTTTCGTGATGGTTTCTGCAGCCCCTGTACGGGAACAGGGTTTGCTTCACAGCCTGCTCATCCCCTCATGTTGTGACATTTTCACAAAGCCTCGTGGCTGAAAACACACGCCTTAAAAATTATACAAAACAGTCAGTTTTATTAAGTCACCTAATTACAAAAATAAACGGAATGGAAGAAAAAGAAACAAAAAAATAATAGCAAAATTCACATCCTAAGAAATGAGACATTACAGCAGAAGGCTGGGGAAGCTCAGCACAGTTGTTGGAATGCACTGGTGGCTCTGTGGCTGTGGTGACACTGTTCAGTTCAGTGGCATCTCCCTTTCAGCTGCACAGCTCAAGCCAAGACAGAGCCACCACAAAAGGAAAGGACAGAAGATGTGCCGAGCTGCTGAACAGCTGCAGATCAAGCACCAAGTGTGTTTCTTTGGAAGGAAACTGAGAGTAACCGAGTATCCCCCACCGCTCTCAAGATTTTTTTCATTAGACAAAACTAAAAGCCAACATAAACAGTGGCTCCATGTTAGCTCAGACTATATTAACAGTGTAAAGACTGAGGAAGGAATTAACTGATTAAAGCATGATTCTGCTTCTCTTTGTGGCTTTGAGCAAGTGGCATCATTGGTCCCTCAGTCTGATCCCTGTCTGCCTGTTCTTTTTTTCACTGCTCTTCCATGAGGGATCCTCCTTCCAAATCAAGAGTTCATGTTTGTAAAGCATTTTGACAGTGAAGACTGTTGTGTAAAAATAATATAAGACTCCTTACAGAAGACCAGAGGTTGTCAGATGCCATCCTGAGAGAGCCTGAAAGCAGCCAGAATGTCAATAACCTTGGGAAGCAGAGTAAAAGCCCCAACGCACTCACTGCCCCCACATTTGGCTCAAGTTTATCCCAAAGAAATTCAACTCCCAACACTCACATGGAAACAAACTGGACTTCTAATGAACTCTACACGTAACTATCACGTTAAAGCAAACCTGACTCTAATTTGTTATAACGAGATTCACTTTGTGCCTACATATCTCTATCTCTTAAGGGACAGGAACACTCCTGGCAAGGTCCTGGTGTGGAGGAAGCACTGCAGCCATGCAGGGAGCAGAACCCTGCCAGCACAGCTCCAGGGCCTCCTCCCGACAGCAGGAGCCGCTTGTTCAGCACAGCAGGAGGAAGACTCGGGGGGTGCCGTGGCAGGGCCATCCCGGCACCAAGCGGATCCGGATCCTCTTCAGGAATGCTCGGCGGGGCCCGCCCCGTGCCCGTTCACGTGCGGGTGCGACGGGGTGGAACTCTGCGAGGTGACAACGCTCTGCTCTGCTGCGGCGGCTGCCAGAGGCATCGACAGGCTCTCGGGGGACAGCGTGGCAAAGTCTTGTCTCCAGTAGGCTTCGCACAGTGGGAGATCATTGCTGTCACACAGACTGTAGCTTTCCAGAACAAACAACCCCAGTGAGGAGAGAGCAGGTGTGGTGACAGAGGAAGGGAGGGATGGAAAGGGTGGAGGGAGCAAGACAGAAGCAAAGCATTAAGAAAATGGCAAAAAAAATGCTGGATGTAAGGTTTGTGTTCATGAAATCATCCTAAGTCGTGTGACATTGGCCTTCTCTAAGATACCCCCCCACTAAGGGCTGGTCCTAAAACTTCTTGCGCCTGGTAAGGATTGGGGCAATTTCAGAGACAGAACTGGCTACAAAATGAAACAGAGCCTCAATTCTAATCCAGACACTCCCAAGTCTCTGAAAAGATCTGAGCTGAAGTCCTGCCACCCCCAAATATGTGGGTTCTGCTACTGATGAGTGAGACATGGACCTTGGAATTAGACTGCAACCTATGTGAGGAAAAAATAGAAATCCTGCTCTAAATTTTACTTCAGAAAAAAAAACCAAAACCTAAACCTGGCACAATTGTTCTGGGGCCTGTCCGTGTCACAATAAAGAAGAACTCTATTTGCACCCCTGCCCTTTCAAAAAAGTGCTCCACAGGTTTGGATTTTCCACTGAAGCTTCCCAGTTTGATTATAAAGTATTGACAGCTCCTGCCTTTTCCCAAGGAGCCTGAGCTAACAGTGCCTCTAAAAGCAGCTGGATGGATTCCAACACTGGATCAACCAGCAGTGTGGGAAAAGAAGATTTTTAAACAACTGGCTAATTCTTGCCCATACTCTGAGGAAAACATAATGTGGAAGGGCCAGAACTAAAAAGAAACATGGAAGGAACTGGAACAAGACCAACACAAATCCCAGAGAGAAGAAGGAGCTGCACACACAAGAGACACCCAAGACAAAGTGAGTGCTGGAGCAGAAAGCAGCTTGCATTCAGAGAAAAACAAACCCAATGGGTCAAGTGATTTTGTTGTTGCAGCTTTATTTACATTTGTAATGTATGGACTGATGCTTAGGGAAATATTTTAAGTATAGAAATATGAGACAGTTCATATTGCACAAACATGAAACATGTGAGATTTAACCCCACACTCAAGACAGCTCCTGTGATCTCAGAGGAGGGAGCAATGGAACACAAATGCAGGTCTGGGGGTTAGGATGAGAGAAGGCAAGCTGGACTTGCAGTTACCACTTTGGGGAACAAGCACACAAAGCACTAGGTGCAAGCTGAGCTCTTTTCTGGCAGCATCACCCAGCTGGCTTTGCAGGAGAGGTGAGAAGGCAGTGGACACAGGTTTTATATCTGGGGCTTCTGTAAAATGCCTTGGAAGACCAGCCCCCAACAGAGTAGAGCTGGGTTCATTTAACAAAGACCATCAGGACTGAACCAGAACTACAGAACTGTGTTCTGTCACAGACCTCAGGCCACGATTTCCCAGGAGAACCTGACCACAGCATCCACACATCATGGCAGGAGAGTTGCTAACCACATTTTAACTGTGTCAGAAGGATGACTGCTTCTCCTGCTGCCCCAGTTAGAACAGTTCCAGAGTCTAAGCTCCACCTCTCAGCTAACACTCCTCAAAACTCAGGGTCAGTGAGTAGCTCTGCACAGCCCAGGAGCACTGGCCAGCCTGCTGCTCTGCCCTGGGAGGGCTGCTCAGGGCATGGAAGGGACTTCACTACTCCCCTGAGGCACCCAGCCAGTCTGAGTGCAGAGGGACAGCTCTAGAGAATTACTGATCACAGGGCAGGAAAGCAAAAGTTCCTTCAGGACAATCTTCTTGAGTTTAGTTTCAAGGACCTGCTTTTGGGTCTCATCAAAAGCCCCATGTGCACATAAAAAGCCTGGCAAACACCTGGCCCTCCAACTGAAGAGGCATTCCCAGGACAGCAAGGAACTCCCCTTTGGGGGCAAACAGGATGTTGTGTTGACAGCCACTGAAACATGGCTGTGACATAACAAAAACCTTTTCCCCCACATTAGACAGTAAGATTTCTTTAAAAATATTGTCGTATTCTAATTATAAAAGGACTTGGAATAAAACACTGTTTCTGTATTTACACAGACACATTTCTTTGGTGCAGAAAAAGACAGGAAAGAGCACAGGAAGGGAGGAAGGGCTAAAAGCCAATGATCAAGTGCTACACGATAACAAAGTGTCAGATCACAGCTCTGCAGAGTTGCCAGGTTTCCTCACCTCGTGACCCATAAGAAAGAGCAGGAAGGCAAATCCATCTGATGTACACCAGCATTTGTGCTCCCATGTTAGTTCTGTCAGCAAGGGTTGCTTTATGTGGCACCTGGGGCCAGGCAGGTGAACAGACCATGCCAGCATGGCCAGAACCCCTCAGTCCAAAAGTGAGAGTGAGCAGCACACAGTGGTGGCAGGCTGGGGACAGGGTGAGGGAAGCACACCTGGCACATGTGGGGCACTCTCATCCCACACCACATCCCTTTGGGTAAGTTCACTGCTATGTCTTGGACCTGCACAGGTGCTTGGGTTTGTGATCATCACAACCTCCTCAAAAAACTGAATAAAGTTGGAAAAACAACTCTAAACTTTTACCTCTAAGCTGTGTCATATTATTATCTTTTTACTCTTAAAATACATATATTACTCATAAACAATGGCCTTACTTTCAAAGATATTGAGCAAGTTAGTTGACTTAGCTGGGTTTATAGGCATTCAGCATTCTTAGAAAAAAAGGAATAGGCAAACATACAAAACCTGGCCAGTAAAATTTTAAGTAAGATATTTTATAGTTAAGTGTTTGTTTAAAAGTCCTAGAATTATTGCACTGACTTCACTTAGCTTGGAAAGTGCAACCAAAATAACCAGGTTTACATTTGTTTTCTTCTGCTTTCATTTACTGCATCATTAACTAGAAGTGCTGGAGTGCATGACAAAAAAAATAAAGTGTCTGAATTCTCTAAAGTCTGTTCGCTAAATAAGAGGCTTTTAAAAATATTAAAAATCCCACAAACAAATCAGTAATAAGTCATTCCTTAGAAAATCCTATCACAATACTTCATAATTCAATGAAACTGAGCAAGTCTTTTTGCTCCTTGTAAATGTTGACCCCAGCAGGACTGGAGGCAGCTGGGGGCAGTGGACTGCGAAGGAAAAGGCACAAAGTGTGACCAGGTCACTTGTGAAAGGAGTCACCACGAAGGTGAGCTGACATCAGGACCCAGCTCAGCAAGCTGGTCTCTGTAGGGAGAGAGCCAGAGGCTCCTTCAGAGGGATTTCCCCCAAGGAAATTCATCTTCTTTTCTAATGATTACAACAGAAGCCTAAGGAAATTA